ATCACATTGAAATTTTAGTTTGTCCACTACACTAGACACATTTACATAGTGCTCATAGCAGCCATCTTATGTGGACAGTGGTTACCAAATTGAAGAGCACAGAATTATAAAACAATCCCATAATCACAGAATATTGGGATCATAAGACCTATGAAGATGGGACTAGGATTGTCCCATTTTTAGATTTCCATCAAACCATTTTAGATATGATTGTCAAGAAGCCTTCTTTGGAAAGATAACATGTGAACAAAGATCTGAATGAGTATACATGTTTTATGCTAACAACCTTAGCAAGAAATGCCAAGAAAGCACAAGAAAATAGCAAAACTTCCTAATTGAACTCAATTTCAAGAGTTAAGAAAAGAAACAGGTGAGTTAATAGACCTAAAGTCTGGGAAAGGGGGAAGGTTTGGGTTGGAAAGTAAACAAATGCATTGGTAGATAGTTAGAAGGCACGAGTCAAACCTCTGACCCAGAGGACAAGGCGCGTTAGGCTTGAAAAGCAAGCCTAACAACCAGCGCAAACAAAGCTTGCTCTCTGGCTTCCTATCCTGACACTCTACCTTCTGGCAAGATTAAAGATCTTTCTAGTCTCGGAGATGCTGTTCTGTGCCCTTGCCCAAGAGGGCATCTCACATGCCCTCCCCTACTGTCTCCTGGGGTATTTCTAATCTATGTCCCCCTTTGGTCCAGACATCTCAGCTTTCCCTGCTCCTGCACGTGAGGTCAGACTTCTCCCTCCAGTACTGTCCTAAGTCCCCATAAATACCTCCTGTATCTCACCACACACACACACCCTGTTAAGATTATTGGAGTTCGCAAGCTTGTCAGACAGACTTGTCTTCTCCATTTATGCAACCCAAATGCCAGCACAGTACAGAGTACAGATCAGCTTTGTTTGCGCTGGTTGTTAGGCTTGCTTTTCCAATAAATGTTAACCATCTAGATGGCATTAAAAGTTCAAAATAGGGGGCCTCCCCGGTGGCGCAGCGGTTGAGCGCTGGGTTGCAAGGCTGCGCGCGGCCTCTGCGGCGCCGGTTCGATCCCCAGCTGCTCCCCGGCCACCGGAGGAGGGTCCCACATGGCGCGCGGACCTCTCCTGCCGCCCGCTGCTCCCCTCAGCAGTGTACCTCGGTCCTTCTGCCTGCTCTGCTCCCCGCTCTGGCTCTGGTGGATTCTCTCACCCTCCCGCGCTTCTGACTGTACCCAGTGCATGTATAAACAAAACAAACAAACAAACCAGCAAACAAATAAAGCATGCCTCTATAAAAAAAAAAAAAAAAAAAAGTTCAAAATAGGATTTTCCACTGACCATGATATAAATATGCAATCATGCCCCGCCTTACTCTGATTTTCACATTATTTTATACATGGAAAACTGCATTGATAAGCAGACTGATCCAAGCCAAACAAAATCAAAACAAAACGGTCTGATCTTCCTGTGTAAAACAGAACCTGAAGTCACCAAACTTGACCAGCAGATGGTGCTCTTGCACTAGTGAGGTAAATGTTCCAGTGTGAAAATGATGCACCCAACAAGTGGGAGGAATATGATAGGTTTCTGGCAGACACTTCAAAACTGTATAAAATTCAGGTGAGTCAGTAACAATAATAAACTTTCCGTATTAGGATCCAAAACAAAGAAGGTCAGAAGAAGGGAAGCTTGTCAAGTCTCACACTGCCTTCTCCAAGGCTTACAGGGTTACAGTAGATGCCTTTTCTCCTGCCTTGCTCCTCATTATCTAGCATATTCAGCACTCCACATCTCCATCCTTAAACAGCTACAACAAGCTTTCTAAGAAATAAAAAGTAATTTTATTCAAAAATTTTAAGACCATCTTAATTCATGAACTAGAATATTTCATCAACTTTCAAATATTTTATTATTCCAATTATTCTCTCAAAAGCTTCTGGAATGCCCATTTTTCTATATCCTTTGTTAAATAAAAAATAGCATTTACTTTAGTACACTGAGAAATCTAGCCCAATGTTCTTAAATATAAAAATTATTTAGTGCCCATTTCTTTGACTAAACTTTTAGGCAACCTTCTGATTATAATGTGGCTTCCCCTGTAGCTTTCCTACAGGTAACGGATAAGAATAGTTAGTTTTTAATACTTCCATGGTATGCTTGAAAGAATGCTAAATGCTCGACTCAATGAATAGTGTTAATAATAATGAAGCTGATACTGGGTTGATATGCTCAAGGTTATAGTTAAAAATTGTTGAATCCAGGCTAATTCTAAAGCTGAACTCTCCTTCTGAGTAAGTTCTTCCTTATCCAGAATGAAACACTCCCTACTCCTTCCTTGCTTTATTGTCTTAACATAGATTCCCACCTAAGATACAGTATTTTTACTTTTTTGTTTTACTCACTGCTGTATGTCTAGCACCTGGAAAAGTGCCTGGCACACAGTAATAGGTGCTCAATAAATATCTGTTGATTATTTAATCAGTCTCTGTCAACTTGGATAACAAACAAACTAGATCTGCCCTTGAAAGAAGGTTCCACTTTGGGGTATTGACACCTTAGATTGCTGACCAAGCACAATAATGGGCAAATGTTGAACCATAGTGATTTCACCAAGCAGTGCTTGCCAAGATAGACTGCTTCCTTTTGTACAACCAGCCACTGACTTTCCGGTAGAAATTTCTAAAGCTCCAACTAGGTGAACACCAACTATGTATGCCAACCATTGTTGTAAATTCTATTCTATTTAAGCCCGGCAATATGTTTTCATGTTACAAATTATTTAAATGAGACTCTTAATGTCTAGGTAATTTGTCCAAAGTGACACAGCCAGTAAATGACAAAGCTATGGACTTCACTGAACACACAGCTGATCAACTTAAGTCCGACACAGTTCAGGGAATTAGTGTTATTGGTGTAGGAGAATCAACTTGTGGCCACATGTGCTCCCTGGCTCTTATTTTTTCCCACAAAGGGCTTCCTGTGCATATATATGAACACTCAGCCTAGACTTCCAAGCTTTGTTCACAGCCCCTACAGTCATTCTTTAACCACCCTTCAAACCAAGAATTTAGTAAAACAGAGGTTAAACCAAGGCCAGAGTCCCTGGGGATCAGGCATGTTTGGACCAGCACTCTGCATCCTATGTACTGAAAGCATGGCCTAGGAAAGGGGTGCAGGTATGAACTTCTGATGAACATGTCTCCATGGTCTCAAAGATTCCTCACCCAGAAAAAGATGGGAGGATGTCTTCGCACTATGGCAGGAGGCAGGTCATCAGTTACCTGTCAATGTACCAGGATGAATCTACCCAAATGTCACAGAGTTCTCCAACCTTGGGTTTGGAAAGAATTCAGTCTACCTATTACAGTATTTTAGGGTATGTCAAGATCTGATATATCCCAGCAAACCTAGATCCATCTTCCCCTTAAGGTCAATAATCTCCTTAGAATCTTCCAATTCTCTTTTCCCTGGGACATTCCAACTGGTCTCCAGGTAATAGTCCAATGCACACGGGGCTCTAGTCAGCACTCTAAAGGCCTGTTCACTTTCCAGTCCACACCATTAAGAGAGGCAGACAGAAGCTAAAACTGGGAATGGAAAGGAAGCAAACATATTGGTTTGCTATCATCCTGGAATGCCCTGCCTACTTTACTTTTAGTTTCAAAATATATAAATACATATTTGTTTGCATTAAAACAAAGTGCTAAACACTTTTCCAAAAGACATACAAATGGTCAACAGGCACATGAGAAATCGCTCACTTATCATCACAGGGAAATGCAAGCCAAAATGACAGTGAGACACCGCCTCCTATTTGTGAGAATAGCCCATATTAAAAAGATCAGAAACAACAAAGGTTGGTGAGTGTTAAAAAAAAAAGGAATCCTCATATACTGTTGGAGGGAATGTAGACTGGTTCAGACCCTATGGAAAATAGTATGCAGATTTCTCATAATATTAAAAGTAGATCTATCATATGATCTAGCAATTCCACACATAAGTATCTGCCCAAAGGATGCAAAAACACTAATTCAAAGGAATATATGTGCTCCCATGTTCATTGCACCATTATTAAAATGCCAAGCAATGGAAAGTGCCCAAGGATAGATAACTGGGTTAAAATACTCAGCTATTGAAAAAAAAAAAAGATGAACTCTAGCCATTTATACTACATAGATGGAACTGGAGGGGATTATATTAGGTGAAATAGTCAGGAGAAAAACAAACACCACATGATTTCATTCATTTTTAGACTACAGAGATACAAACCAAACCCTAGAAATCTGACTGTAGAATTGAGGTTACCAAACGGGAAGGGTGAGGGCAGAGTGTAAAGTGTGGAGGGGGCTTAATGGACTATGGTGGAGGAATATGGATGCAGTGCTGGTGGGTGGAGGGTGGTAACATACTTAACCTATACCTCTGAATCATATAGTGTTGTATACCAACATTACCTCAATAAAAAAATGAATAATTTCAAGTTCAACTTCTTTGTGTTCCCACTAATATATAAGGGGTGGACATGTTGGGGTATAAAGGTAACTTTTACTTTTTGTAACTGCTATCAAATATCAAATCCTCATTTCCCCTTAGGTAGTGTTTCCTGTTACATTTTAGCCCAATTCTAGAATTTTCCCTCACTTTGGAACTTTGGAACAGTTTGACTCACTTTTTAAGTTTTTGATCATGTACCAGATTCAAACATAAAGTCCAAACTGTTATTTTATTTTCATTGGTCTGGTCTACTAACACCACTTAACAATGTGTACAACAGCTTCTTCTAAAAATAGTAAAGATAACTTGAAAGTAATTATGCTTTTTTCATTCGCAAGACAGAATTCTGATAATATAGAAATATATATTATATACAATCATCAAAGAACTACTAAGCTGTTAGCTATATCAAATCACTGCACATTACATTTTCCAGATAAATGTTAAATTAAATTAGAAAAAAAGGGCAGTTACACAGTTTCATAAAGCAATCTTGTATGAAATTAATTTAATACTCTATTCTGTGATACACTCACTCAGGTTCTTGAAGACTTACATGCTTTATGTGAATTGTACAACGCTGTTTTACGATGTCAGTCCTTCAATAAACAGTACAATGCTGTTTTACGATGTCAGTCCTTGAATTTTACTTTGAGAATAGAGTAATTTTTTAATTGAAATATTATTTCCTTCAGAAATGAAACTCCCATCTTATAAACAAAACAAGACATACAGAATTCCTCTGACGAATGCCAGATTAACTAAAAAGACCCCCTTTTTTGTTTTGGTTACTGATTTCTTGCTGGCATAATTTCCTCTGGCACGCCATTCAGGTAATTTTGTATTTAAGGTTTCAGATGAAATCTATAGGAAAGAAATACAGAAAGAATATTTGTACTATTAACAATGCACACTATTTGTATAAAGTAACATAGGTTACTTAATACACATCCAACATCTTTTCTCCAGATAAAACAAAACAGTGAGATCTACACAATCTATTTCTGTATCAAACTTGTCCCCCTGTTATCTATTCTTAGGTACTCAGGTATAGACACTCACTTGGGTAGGAAAGAACTGTAAAATTATTTCACATCTATGTCACATTGTGTATATGCTTTGGGTTGGCCAAAATGGTAAATTTAATGTTTCTGCCTGGGAAAAAGCATGTGGTATGCACATGTACACAAAGTTATGTGAGACATCTGAAAACCATATAACTTCTAAATGTACAATGTCAGACAGAATAGAAAAGCAGGTCAGCCATTATCAGCACTTTGCAGAGATGCTGAGATATAGGTGATATTCAAAAAAATTTGATGAACAAATTTCTTAAATTGTTTTTTGCTTCACAGACTTTTTTGAGAACCTGCTAAAAACTAGAAATACACTTCTGAGGAAAAAATTAATGTATGCATGCATAATACTTAGCAGAATTTAATGGTGCTCATGTACTAACTGAAGTCTCTGAATCCTAAATTAAAAGTTCCTGAAGAAAATATTTTTTTTAATCCAAGGGCAGCACAAAAGATGAATGAAACCAAGAGTTGGTTCTCTGAAAAGATAAACAAAATAGAGGAAACTCTAACTAGGCTCACCAAGAAAAAAAGACAGAAACTCTAATAAACAGAATGAGAAATAAAAGAGAAGTTACAATAGAGATCACAGAAACACAAAGGATCATAAGAGACTACTACGAACATCTTTATAACCATAAGTTGGATTACCTGGGTGAAATGGATAAATTCTTAGAATCATACACTCTCCCAAGGCTGAATCAGGAAGAAATAAAAAATTTGAACTGACCAATTACAAACAAGGAAATTGAAACAATAATCAGAAATTTCCCAAAAGCAAAAGCTCAGAGTAAGATGGTTTCACAATTGAATTCGAGCAAACCTTCAACGATGAACTAGTATCATCTTTCTCAAACTCTTCCATAAAATTTAAGAGGGAATGATTCCAAATATATTTTATAAGGCCAACATCACTCCGATATTAAAAGCAGACAAGGATATCACACACACAAAGAAGAAAACTACAGACCAATATCTTTAGTGCACATAGATATAAAAATCCTCAATAAAATCTTACCAAAGTAAATTCAACAATACATTAAAAGGATCAAACATCATGAAAAAGTGGGATTTTTTTCCAGGTATGCAAAGATGGTTCAACATCTGCAAATCTATCCCTGTGATTCAACACTTCAACAAAAGGAAAGATAAAATCACATGATCATTTCAATAGATGTAGAGAAAGCATTTCATAAGATCCAAAATCCACTTATGGTAAAAATTCTCAATAAAGAGGGCAGAAGGAAGAAACCTCAACATAATAAAGACCAAGTATGACAAGTCCACAGCAACAAGAATACTCAAAGATAAAAAACTGAAAGCTTTTCCTCTAAGATCAACTCACCTATTTATTGAAAGACTGTCAGCATAAAACAGCCTTGTACAAATCACAAGTCTTCAAGACTTAAAAGGTTTTAGTATCAATCCTGTTGCCAACAGATAACTTCAGTTGCTAGCAGATATAATTCAAGGAAACAAAAAACTCCAAATAGGCAAAACAATTCTGAGAGAAAAGTGGAGGAATAAAACAAAAAAATAGTGCTGGACAGCCACATGCAAAAGAATGAAATGCGATCATATGCAAAAATTGATTCAAAATGGGTTGAAGACTTAGCTATAAGACCTGATACCATAAAATACATAAAAGAAAACACAGGCAATACACTCCTGGACAAGGCTGCATGTGAGTGGCAACTTCAACAGCAACAAAACCAAAAATAAACAAATGGGACTACATCAAACTAAAAAGCCTTTGTGCCTTGAAACCACCACAAAAACAAAGTCAACCAGTGGACTGGGAGAAGATATTTGCACATCACATGAGTGACAAAACCAAACAACAAAGAGCCAAACCAAATAAAACCAAACAAAACCAGAAGAGGCAAAAGACTTACACAGAAACTTACATAGAAAAAAAGACATTCAAATGGCCTACAGCCACATGAAAAAATGTGCAATAACACCAATTGTAAGGGAAGTGCAAATCAAAATCACAATCAGATATCACCTCACCCCGTGACAAAGGTCTATATTAAGAAACCTGGAAACAGCATATGTCGGCAAGGATGTGGAGGAAAAACTCATCCCTGTTTGTGGGAATGTAGCCTCTATAGAAAATTGGTGCAGTCTCTATGGAAAATGGTATGAAGATTACTCAAAAAATAAAAATGGAAAAACCACTATTATATTTTTACCCAAACACCATGAAATATGAAACACACAAAAAAATTTTACATACTTCTATGCTCATAACAGCATTATTCACAACAGCCAAGTTATGGAACCAACCTAAATGCCCACTGACAGACAACTGGATAAAATAATTGTGAAATATATACTCAATGGAATATTATTCAGCTATTTAAAAAGATGAAATAGTGCCTATTAGGATAAAATACATTAATATTGAGGTGATTATGCTAAATGAAATACTCAGAAGGAGAAAAGACAGTTACCAGATGGTCATATTAATTTGTATAATATAAATAACCAAAGAAAACAAACTGGCAAAACAAGAATATTCTCAGACTCTGAAAAACATGCTAGTTACCAGAGTAGATGAGGGAGAGAAGGAAGGGAATAGGGGATGGAAAGTGATAAGGTTTTATTTATTTATTTTTAAGATTTATTTATTTATGCATACAAGAACTGGGGTACAGGCCAGAGGTGTGGGGGGTGAGAGGATTCACCAGAGACAGAGTGGGGAACAGAACAGGCAGACTGACCGAAGTACACTGCTGAGGGGAGCAGCAGGCAAGTCAGGAGAGGTCTGCTGCACATTATGGGTTTCTCCCTTGTGGGGGATCGAACTTGTGCTGCAGAGGCTGCAGATAGCTTCACAGGTTGCGACTCAATCCCCTGCTCCTCCAGGGAGGCCTGGTGATAGTGTTTTAGCATGGGAAAGTTGGTAGATGGTAAGAGACGCACATACACACAGGGAGGTGTGAAGTTGCACTCCTCTTAATCATATACTTACATAATTATTAGCAAATCAATAAAACTTGGAAAAAAACCCCCAATTTTGTCAAATCAATTTACCTGTGAATGAGAATCCGTAAATAAATCGTCTATTTCTGGATCACTGGATGGCTGATTCCCAGAAGTGAGTCTTGGTGAATTTCTGTCAATCTCTTCTTTTGATGAAATAGCACCAGGACATGTCCCAGCAACCTTTATAATTTTTATAGAATTCAAAATAGTTATAGCATGTGCCACTTTCTTTGCCAAACTAAAATACCTAAAAAAGCAAAGCTAAGAAAATTTTTAGTATCCTGGAGTACTAAATTTCAACAATGATGGATATATTATCCATAAGGCATTTTTCCCCTGAGTATCTTAAAGTAGTTTGTAAATAATACTGATTATTTTAGTTTAAAACCAAACTCAGTGATGTGGCAGGAAATAGCACTCTCTCTTCTAATGCAGTCAAGAAAAACAAAAAGGAAAGTAATATAAAAGAGGGTTCTGGGTATATAATGGCAGGAGCAGCATAGTTTTTATATTTCTACACATAGCATTTGAACAGTTAAACCAATTAGCAAAACCAAAATCTATCATCTACATTTATAATGAAACTAATTTTAAAGGTATTTTTAGGATACCCAAACAATAAGCATGTGAGGAGAAACTACCAACAGCCATAAGACTTATATGGTATAGAGCCTCCTTGGAGGCGCAAGGGGTTAAGACGCAACCTATGAGGCTATTCTCAGCCACTGCTGCACAAGTTTGATCCCCAGCCAGGGAGCTACCCACATGGTGCAGCACACCTCTCTTTACTCGCCCACTGTGCCCCTCAGCAGTCTATTTCAGTCAATCTGCCTGTTCTTCTCCCCACTCTGTCTCTGGTGAATCCTCTCACCACCACCCCCACCTCTGGCCTATACCCCAGTTCTTGTATGCATAAATAAATAAATCTTTTTTTTTTAAAAAAAGACTTATATGGTATAGCATCTGTACTAGAAAAGGTAGAGACAAGCAATGAGGAGCCTAAGACATAGAATCCCAAAAGAGACACAGGTCTACACTGGAAAGCGTGATAAATTGAGAACAGCATCTGAAAAGAGCAAGGCTTTTGCTCAACCCAATAGCAGTTGAGGGTCAATTGCTGACTGGTTACCAGTTGACTGGTAATAAGTGGCTAGAATGACAGGCTCCTATGAACTCTCTTGATCAGCTAATGCTGTCTTCCAAGAGAATGCCCATACTCAGGAGAAATGAAAGGTTAAATCAAAATTAAGCAGGAAAGATATAATAGAGACAAGGAAGAGAAAGTTCAAATAAGTGGCAGAGCTATGCATCTCATAAACCAAATTTCCATATTCTGAATATTACACAAAAACAACAGGAGAGTTTTTTGAACTTGGAAACACTATATTGAAAATGCAGGAAAACTTTTATAAAGATTACCTTAGAACTGAAATGCAGTTTCTAATACTCTAGTAAATATTAGCAATCATCTACTACCATGCTGTATTTATAATCTAGGAACTAAAATTCTGTTTACTTAATAGGTTTTATAAACTTTTAACATAGTCAGATTTTAGATCTGGAAGATACTGAAGGTCAAATTTTCAAATTTATACAATTATTTAATAGAGTCACATTATCAAAGAAGTTACTCTGTTTGTGGTTACTTTTTTTTTTAAAGATGTATTTATTTATACAAGAACTGGGGTATAGGCCAGAGGTGCAGGAGGGTGAGAGAATTCACCAGAGACAGAGAAGGCAGCAGAACAGGCAGACGGACAGAAAACACTGCTGAGGGGAGCAGCGGGTGAGACAGGAGAAGTATGCCACACCATGTAGGCATCTCCCTGGCCTGCTGGGAATCGAACCTGTGCTGCAAAGGCTGCTGACAGCCTCACAGCGCTGTGCTCAACCCGCTGCGCCACCAGGGAGGCCCTCTGTGGTTACTATTTACCTTACACCGGAGCAAGGATTTTCAAAACATTTAATTTTAATAAAATATACTATCTAAAACAGCACTAAATTCATGGTCTTTCTGTGGTCATGCAAAAAAGCACATTAAGATGTACTAAGGATCCTAACCAACAAATTGTCCTTCTTAGATACTTAACAGGAACAGAATGTGATTAATGACAGAATAATAAGACATTTTCAGGGTATTTCTAATAAATTTGTTTTCATTTTCATTAACCACATGAACTTCCATATGCCAATATTAATTACACCTATGAAAGAGTTTCCAAGCTGTATATTTACTCTGATGCAGCAGTAAAATATAAGCTGACTTTCCACACAATACAAATAGTGTATCTGTTTAGCATATTATAATAACTACCCTTTTATTGTATTTAAAAAAAAAAATCACTTTCTCAAGTCAGATTTATGAAACGCAAAGAAAATCATAGCACATAGATTCTTTAAAGTAGTCTTATGTCAGAATTTATAACAGTTTAAAATACAGCATTCTAGTATAAACAAACTAACACTATATGAAAATTCAACATGTAATTAATACCTTGGTATCAGTGCATACTTCTTCCTTGCTTCTCTTAGAACTTGAACAGCTCTCTTCAGAGTTGGGGAAACATCTCTTTTTGTTGGAATCACAAGAAGGTTGACATAACAGTCTGTTGTTCAAATCATTTCCCAGAATCCCAATTGCCATGTGGATAAGGTATGTGTCAATGTTTTCAGGAACAAACAATCTAATTAGCTTCATTTTGTATGTATCTGTGAAAGATGAAATAATAAGATTTTAAAATAAATTACACAACATTTTAGAAAAACTATGAGTTGTTGGGCCTTTCCGGTGGCACAGCAGTTGAGCGCTGGGTTGCAAAGCTGCCCGCAGCCTCTGCAGTGCCTGTTCGATCCCTGGCCACCATGCGAGGGTCCCACATGGCGCGCAGACCTCTTCTTCCGCCCACTGCTCCCCTCTGCAGTGTATTTCATCAGTCTGCCTGCTCTGCTCTCCCCTCTGGCTCTGGTGAATTCTCTCTCACCCGCCTGCGCTTCTGACTGTACCCAGTGCTTGTACAAATAAATAAATTAGTTTAAAAAAAATTTATTTATTTATGCATACAAGAGCTGGGTTACAGGCCAGGGGTGTGGGGTTGAGAGGATTCACCAGAGACAGAGTGGGAAGCAGAACAGGCAGACTGACCGAAGTACACTGCTGAGGGAAGCAGCAGGTTGAGTCAGGAAAGGTCTGCTGCGCCATGTGGGTTGCTCCCTGGCTGGCCAGGGATCGAACTCATGCTGCAAAGGCTGCTGACAGCTTCACAGGCTGCGCATTAACACCTTGAGCTACCAGGGAGGCCCCCTCCCCTGAGAATTAAAACCACCATTCACAGAATTGTTTTTAAAGTAATTAAGTTATGCTACAAATTCCAGATGTCAATTACAAGTTAAATTTTTCAAACAACTTATTTTGAAAATAGAAATTTTCGGCTACTCATAGCTGTAAATAAGATGCTAATAAAAAAGATCCTTTCAATGGCTATTATAGAGTAACAAAAAGACAACAATTATTTTAAATGCATATTGACTGAGTTATCTGGGAAAGATACATCTTATTTTCAGAGTCAAGTAATTTTTAATCTTTTTGTATCTCAACAGATCTGACTCAGACTGTCAGTCTCTTCACATCTACAAATTATGTAGCATCCTAGAAACCACTATTCATGTTTCAAACCTTCTTCCCAATATCACATTCATCTGTAATGCTCTACAGGACTATAAAGCTAAGCAACTTAGAACTTATTCACAGAACTTCATGTGATTTATAAAACTGCTAACAAACATTTCTAACACCAATTCAAATTAACAACCAAGTATTTTTAGATACCAACTTGAAAAGGTGGTCTTTAAGTGATTTCATTTTCAAGTTTACATTTCCTTTCTTCCAAAGCTCTTACCTTGCTACTCCAGGACATCCCCAAAAGAGTGCAGTTTTTTTTTTTTTTTTTTAAGTCAGAAAGATAATAGCCAACAGAAAGTAGAAAAGTGGACTCTTTGACTATTAAGCATATACTCTTTTTCTAATTATGAAGGTGCATAACTGATATTTAATCAAGATCTTGAAAAGACCAGATTACCTCTAAATATAATAAAATCGTCAATATTACCATCACACCTTAACAAAACTGAAGTTTTCTTGACCCTTGGCCATTATACCATCTTTATACGCTGAAATTCTATCAACTTTATTACTTTACTATTTTTATGACTGAGAAGTCTTCTTTTATATGTGTCTATTAGAATTTACCTTGAGTTCTCTTTCTTTGTCTTTGATTTTTCTTTGAAAATAAAAATGTTCTGATGAACATTATACTACAAGTATCTTTCCATTTTTTCTAGGTACTTACAAGTGGGATTGCTAGCTCGAAGGTTATACAAATTTGATATACTGACATATATTACCAAGCTAGCTCTGACGTATACACAAATATCACCAACCACAAAATGACTGAGTCCTCATGACGTGGCTTGTGTGGCTAAGAAGCTGAGTTCTTAATTTTAAGTATTTTTAATTCAGTAATTTTTGATTTAGTTGGAAAAATGTTAAGTACCTGAAACAACTTGGATATCTTAATTTACCTTATTCAATTGTAAATTTTATGAAAGCTAAATACAAATTAAGTATTTCAAGTTAAAATTTAGCATTCAGGGCCTCCCTAGTGGTGCAAGGGGTTAAGACACAACCTATGAAGCTAGCTGCAGCCACTGCAGCACGAGTTTGATCTCCGGCCAGGGAGCTACCCACATGGCACAGCAGACCTCTCCTGACTTGCCTGCTACTCCCCTTAGCAGTATATTTCAGTCAATTCGCCTGTTTTGTTCCCCACTCTGTCTCTGGTGAATTCTCTCATCTCCCACAACTCTGGCCTGTACCCCAATTCTTGTATGTATAAATAAATCTTTTAAAAAAATTTTTTTTAAATTTAGCATTCATAGTTGAGATGTTATAAATGTAAGACATACATCATTTCAAACGCTTAATACAATCTCATCAATAATTCCTATATTAATGTTGGAATGATAAAATTTTAAATATATTAGACTAATTAAATTATAGTTAAAATTAATTAGCTATTTACTTTTACTTTAATGAGACTACTAGAAAATTTTTAATTGCTCATGTGACTCACATTACATCTTTACACATTACATCTGCTCTAGAAAAACCATACAAATTTCCCATGCTCTAGCCAACTAGTATTATATTTATTTTCTTCTGTATTTTATACTGTTAAACTATTTTAAAAAGAAAAAGTGAGGTGTTTTATTCCATTAGACTCAATTTATTTCTAAATTGAGATGTATAAACATTTCCTGTCATTTAAAAGCACTATGAGTTAATAAATGTATAGTTATTATACTGCAATAAGAACATAATTTCTTGATAAAATTAGAAATTTCACATATTAACTTGTACATTTCCAGTACCCTTTATACTTTTATCTTTAAGAAATCTTATCATATGCATACAGAAACAAGTGGTATCTAACTTTAAATATGCCTCTTATTCTGCCTTAGCTTTCCAAGCAAGTTAGTGCTGAAAATATCTACTGGAGAATGAAGTAATGAACACTGACTACACTCCTTCACTACTCTAAAAGAGATCATATTACCTCTACTTTTGTGGCAGGTCCCTTGGAAGCCACCCTTAATTTTCCAGCTACATGCACATAAAGAATGGGAGAATGAAATCATTCAAAATATTACCTAGGCACCTCATTAAATGTCTTGCTTAACTTATTATTAAGTATAGTTAGAATCTCAACTCCATAAAAGGAGCTTAAATTACATAAACAGGGAGAAACTCAAAGAACAAAAATCCATTTAAATATTAAGTGTTGAAAGGACAAAATCTATTTAGTAAAGAAAACAGCATGAAAAATAGACATCTGATTTCTTAATTCACAAATGCTTTCCTTATAAATAATGTAATAAAACAGAAAATTTCTCAATTCAGGGTCATGCAAATTAATTACCAATTGCCTTGTACACAAAAATACTTAAATTATAGTTACAGTTAAATAAAAGATAACAAAATGTCTAAATATTTCATGTAGTATGCATATCTTCAGTTCTTATTATCATTTAAAACTCAACAATATTTTCTCCAATAAGAGAATAATATTTTATCACGGAAAAACAAGAATTCAAAAGTAAAATTTTACCTCAATAAATGATATTGGCTAAAAAATAAAAAATAAATAAATGATATTGGCTATAAATGTACAAAAGAAATAAAATTTAGAGCTCATGGTTGTCACAATCTTCCAAATTTTTTCAAGTTTTGCTTTGGAAGTAAGCAACAATTAATATACTTCTTCATATTATATGTACAACCTACATATAGTGCATTAACAGCAAAATGAAATACTGCTTAAAAACTATATTCAATAGTGTTCTCTGTTGTCTTTCAAGATTTCAATTAACTTTATCTCTGAATAAAATGTATTTGCTATATTCAGTGTTTGGTGATAAAGACAACTGTTTTAACTAGTTTTAGTGACTAACGATTTCAAATGTTTTTCTCATCTCTCTAGTAATTGTTGAACCAGACTGTGCAACTGTTGAGAAATTTTCTTTGTACATATTCTGCTTGATTCATAGTATTTCTTAATTTAAAAAGTGATCAGAAATTAAATTTGCTAAGCTATGAACATAAAGGGTACTACACATGGTAGAAAATATTTAAAGACATAGATACATAAAAATATTAAAATGAATTATAATGAAGTATATTATTTATTTTTTAAAGATTTATTTATTTATGTATACAAGAACTGGGGTGTAAGGCAGAGGTGGGGGGTGAGAGGATTCACCAGAGACAGAGTGGGGAACAGAACAGGCGGACTGACTGAAATACACTGCTAAGGGAAGCAGCGGGCGATACAGGAGAGGTCTGCTGTCCCCTGTGGGTCACCTCCCTGGCTAGGAATCGAACTCATGCTACAGTGGCAGTGGAATGCTTCATAATGCTGAGGCTTAACCCCGTGCGCCACCAGGAGGCCCCTGAAGCATATTGTTTTACTCATCGATTGGAGGCATATAAACCCAAATCCTATGTCAGGATTAGAAACTGCATATTTCTTTCTTTTAAAAACTTGGCAGTACAACTTCCATATAGTTTAGAAAAAAGAAAAACTTGTCAGTCATTAGACTTGATATAATATTAAAAAAAATTTGTGACTCTCTCTATAGGCCTCAGAAACAGGGTGGGAGTAGGGAAGTGAACATTTATTAATTTTCAGTTTCCTTCCAAGTCTAAAATTCTGTAACTTTACAGCATAGTTGGCCCTTGAACAACATGGATTTCTTCTGTGCGGGTTCATTTATGTGTGTGGATATTATTCTGTCCTCTAATTCTGCATTCAGTGGATTCAAAAAACTGCAGATGGCATCACCGCAAGATTTCCCCCACCGTGACGCCCCGCTTCCCCACATAGCTCAAGGGGAGCTTTACATGACTTAAAAAACAAATAGCAGCACTTCCTAATGTACCTCATCCTTACCTTTGTAAAAAGTAGGTAACAAATGTATTAAAAAGCTTCTATAGAACAAGCAAAGGGCTCAGCAAAGTTCTGGCGCAAAGCAACATAAGGAAACCCTTCTTCAAGGGGTTTAGAGAACTTGATCTACCCCTTCATCATCAGAATGACTGACATCACTGACTTGATTAGAAAGCTACTTAGCAGCACTATTTACAATAGCCAAGCTATAGTATATAGTACATTCACAATACTGTAGAGGGATCCTTATGCTTTCTTTTTTTTTTTTTTGATCCTTATATTTCTAATACACAAACAATAATGTAAACCAAAGTTACCTTAAATAACACACATATGATATACATATGTTTTATATAAAATAGTATTTTATACATTATATATATTAAAGAAAAGGCTATATTTAAGTGAAATCAATGACAAGGAATAAAAAAGATTTGGGGATAAACTAGGAGTTGGTAAGGTACAGAGAGAATGAATATGAAGGGAAAAGGTTTTTTTTTCATGCAATAAGAAAAATATTAGGAATAAAGTGCATTAAATAGGAGAGGTGTGGAAGTGTAATCTGAAGATGAAAAGGAAAACAAGACTATCACAGGCTCAGATTTTGCTGTTTCTAAAACAACTAAAAAGATAAAAAAGTAAGATTTCATGGCAGCATACAGAGTTTATGTTAAAAATGAAAATATTAGTGGATGGCTTGTTTACTTCATCTGGGTTCAACGACTCAAGTCATTAAGGTGCAGGCTAGGGTCATGGTTATCACCTGAGTTGATGGGAGGGTTCGGATAACATCAGCAAAATCTTCTGAACCTCTGGAGTCAGGCCTGCTCGCTCCATAT